CCCTAAACCCTAAGCCCTAAGCCCAGCCTGCAGTGCTAAGGAGATGTGGCGGCCTTTAAGAGGCGTCGTTCCGTCGAGTTGATCCTTCAGCTGCACTTTAGGGGGGGGGGGGGTTGGGGGGGGTTTAGGATTCAAAACCCTAAACCCTAAACCCTAACAGTTTAGGCTTCATTCAGGGAGGTTTAGACGTTTTTTTGTAACGGTCAACTTCTGCAGGGCTCTGCTCGGCGATCGAAGGTGATGCCCATACAGCCGTTTCTGCCGAGCTTATATAATATAAGAAGAGGCTTCAGCATCGGGGGGGGGCTCCCAGTCGTGCGAGTGGAAGAGATTTGGAGGGGCTCCACCACACATGGAAACGTAATACATAGATCCACCAATTCGCTGTCATTCTTCCGAACGGCTTCTAAAGGCTTGAAGCAAAGAGTGGTATCGGATTAATCTCGAAACGCTACTGGAGTTGTCTTTGATATTTCGGGATTTGGGGTTGGGGTGTATAAAACCCTAAACCCTAAACCCTAAACCATAAACCTATAGGGTCCAGGGTTAGGATTCAGTGCCTATGCCATGCCCGGATCGGCTTCAGCCGTGGATCTCTGCCGGCTAAGGTTTAGGGTTTAGGGGTTTAGGGTTTAGGGTTTAGGGTTTAGGGTTCATCACGGCATCAAAGAGTTTCCAGGCCTCTCGCGCGTCACCCAGGATCTAGCATTAACTATGCCCTAAACCCTAAACCCTAAACCCTAAACCCTAAACCTAGACTCCATGCCCGAATCCCAAAGCGAAGGATCCAGACGTTTGTGAACTCCACACTGTTCTACTCATCCACGAGTCCGATCCCACAAAGAGGGGTTTCCGAAAATAGGGAACCCTAATATAGTACCCTAAATAGTAGGATCCTTATTATAAGGACCCCAAAATAAGGTACCCCCAATTTTCGGAAACTGCCAAATAGGGGATGGTATCGCTCGTCTTGGAATCCTCCGTGGTCAACTCCTTCAAATTAAACTCCAAACTCCTAAATCTGAGCATTGAGCCACTTCATTCGTTCACCTTCTTAGGAAGCACGGCAGAATTTCCATGATGGCCGCCATGGGCTGCCTGGAAGCATTGAGGATCTAGAGTTCAGGACGTCTCTTGGACTTTGCTGCCTGGAAAATCTCTTTTCTTGCATTGGTCTGCCCTAAACCCTAAACCCTAGCATGGACCCAAGTGAGCCTGGTCAGAGTTTGCCAGAGTTCAGCGGAGTGGGATCAGTGTGTGCCATTCAAACAGTTCGTTGTACTGTTTAAGGCCCTGTTTCGACATGTTGCAGGTTACATCACACCTGAGATCACCGGCAAGCTGCCGGGCCCTTGGCATCATGTCAACAGTCTCTTTAGACGTGAGAGCAACGGTGATTCTGAAGCATCGTTGACGTGTTGAGAGGCCCGGATTTTTGTCCCCATCCGCCGGCTTGAAGTTCGCAGACATCCCGAACGGCCTTGCCGCTGTCTCGAAGGTGCCTGTAGCAGGCTGGGCACAGATCGCCGC